CCCCGGTTGGGCGTCTTCTGGCAGCTTTTCCTGCAGGCCAGAGGCCACCGAAGTGGGCCTCAAGGCTTCAGCCGAGGATCCTCTAAAAGCTGTCACTTGGCATCCTCTTTGTAAGAGTGAACGGGGCATACCTGGGGGTTATCCCGTTTTCCTTGTTTGGTTAACACCTAATTGTTTCTTCGTCTTGGTGCTTTTCATAAGCACCCAGCGTTTTCTGTGGTGTGCCTGATAGTCTTCCAGCTGAAACATCTTGGAAGGGAAAAACACATTTTTAACAGACGGGGCAAGAGTAGGAGTTCTGGGCAATCAGACTTTTTCAGATCTCTGTTAGATTGCTAGAAGTAGTGGCACCTAGAATTACCAGCTATTGCGAAATTAGGCGGCCTTGTCCCAGGCTGCCAGGCGTAACTGTAGTGGTGCTTTCCAAAAACAATGGGCAAAATTTTCAAACGGCTTACTGTGTGCTTTTTAAATTGTTATCTTACAACAAGTTCACATCATGCTTAGGTTCCAGCATGGTCTCCGTTCGCATACAGAGTCGCTTGTATTAGTTAATGAATTATACTTACTATATAGTCCTAGCTTGACTTCTGGCTCTCTGTTGAGGTGCCACAACCCCTCTCTCCGGTGGATTTTTGTAATGATGAAAGGTCCCCTCCTGACTTCCTCATCTGCTTTTCTTCATGGTGGGGTCGAAAACCTGGTAAGAACCATTTCAGGTTGCATGTGACAAACTGAGAGTATTGTTATTTCCAGCACTTTGAAGCTGCGGAGGACTACATTCACTTGCAAGTATCACTGCAACATTATGGTTAGGTAAATGGCAGGCCTGGTTTTGGAAGCTTAGAAGCATGTTTGAAGGTGAAAAATTATCTGTATTATGAAATCAGTTGTGATGTGATTTCCACAGCTCTTTTCACATAAATTCTGTTTGCTCTGTAAGAACAACGACTTCGGGTTAGTTGACTGACTTATGACAGTTGATATCTACAAGTTAAACATTTGCTAGGAGCACCGCCTGTGCAGGCGTATCTGATCACATTCAGGCTTTTTCTGTTTGGTTGCACAAGCCTGACTTTTCATTTACAGAGGGTCACAAACCCAAAATTGTTGCTCTTAAGAACTTTCAGTGTAAGTGACACCTAGTGAGAAAGGAAGGCATTCCAGAAGATGAAGGAAATACTTTAGGCTTTCTGCTCTTTCTGTATGTCTTGGAAGCAATATCAAAGAGCACCAGAATCAAGCTGAAGGGTGTGTGAGAAGAGGAAATTGCAAGTGGAAATACCCCATTGCTTGATTTGAAGAGGGAGCCATGAAGTAGTGGAAAGAAAAGTGATTCGGCAAAGTGTTCTAGGTGGGTTGGACAGATGAAAGAATGTGAAGGAGAACAAAGATGTGAAATGAAAGTGTAGCAGACACGTTAAAACCCTGGATGTGAGGAGAGAAGCCACTGGAGGGGGTAAGAGATGATGAAGTTGCTCTGAATTAGCTAGTGTAGAACTTACAGGAATCTGCTACAGAGTTTTTCATTCACTAATTAACCCAGATGAAGCTCTGTTTTAATTTTATTGCAAGTGAATCACTCATTGCAGAAATGGCCTCCAAAGGTTTGAGAGGCTACTGAGGTAGCAAGAGTAAGCAGTACACTGAAGATGGGGGCGGGACTGAGAGGCAACTCAGCGAGATTTGACAGGTTTAGTCGAGGCAGAGTTTATGAGTTTTGATTATAATAGAGGAGTCCTGCAATTCCCCATTCCTTGGGAACCATGTTAGGCTAAGTTAGGCCGTTAAAACACTTGGAAAATTAACTATAATTAACAATAGTTACACAGTGCCATTTTTGGCATTTGCTGTCTTTTGAAAATGGACTTTGTTGAAAAGTCCTGTTGAACATGTGAGCGTCCTTAGCAATTTGCAGCTGTTACCATGGTCTGCTGCTTTGGAGATTGGAGAGTCTGTGACCGCCTCTCTAGTGCTAAGCAACCTGTTGTCTGAATATGGCTGGAGCTTGTTTGCTGTAATGTGGTTAGGACATGCCAATCTTTTGCAAAACCATGAAACATGGATACCTGTTATCACCTAGGCAGGAAAGAAACCTGTGTTGCCTTTAATTCCAAAGATTGCCATGCCTGTAGTGGTTTCAGATGCAAACTGAAAAAAAAAAGAACAAGGTAAAACCAACAAAACCTCAGGAAATCCCACCCGCAACAACAGGGACGGGGGGTGGGGGGAGGGGAAGGGGAAGCTGTGATCTAGTATGCAACCTTTTTGTCCTAACATATAACTATTTGGTATTTGGGTACAGTTGTGCCTATTTTTTTCTTCTGTAATAGTGACTTCCTAAACGACCTGAGGTTTGTAGAGAGAGGCAGCATGTTTCCAGCTGTGTTGGTCTAGTAATAGGACCTTACAGCTTGCCGTACTCAAAACCTCTCTGGGCCCAAAAGCTCATCTGTCTTTCCAAAGTATCTTAGTACCATTCTCTATCAACTTTGCCTTGTACATATGTGATCATTGTGGCTAGAGCAATGCTGCAGTGTAAATCAGTAACAGATCCAAGCATCAAGTACACATTAAGCTCTCTAGATGTAATTTATTCCTCCTCCCAGCCTCCTTTTGCAGGGTACATAGTTCAAGGTGCACTAGAATAATAAAAGAGGTATGACTTGCTGACCATGAAGAAGGGAGGTAAGGAAAAGAATAGACACTTTGTACCCAGGCAGACTGTCACTTTCTTTCCAGTTTGTGATGTGCTGGAGGACTCAAGCACCAGAGTCTGACTCTTTTCCACATTGTGAGGATTTTTTGAAGTCTGACCAAGGTGCATAGTGCCTATTTCTAAATGGTCTTCAGACTGTTCAAAGCCTGACTATAGATGTGAACACCCAATAAGGGGAAATTTTCCCTTTATTATTTCCCCCCGCCCCCAGCACCAAAGCTACTGTTTGCATTACTTGAGGGCATCTGTTGCTTTTCAGTTGCTTTGTCTGAAGAAGGGCCTCTGTACTATTGGACATTGCAATACTGCATCAAGTGATGGGACTGGCCATTGCTTTCTGCTGGAAGTAGTTATATCTTGTGTTGGTATGTCAGCCCATCCCATTTTCTCTTCTGTTTAGTTTATTGTAACTAGATCTGAATTGGCTGCACGTAAAGGCTTCTGCAGATCCACAGTAAAACCAATCTAGCTGCTATTCTGGGTGACTTACGTAACTGGGTAATTGTTTTATAAACAAAGGCTATGGAGACTTCATGCCTAGGACACAACCCAGGCAAATGAATTTCTTCCTGGCTATAGCCATGCTTTGGGTGAATGACAGCATGCTGCTGCCTGTCATGTAGGAGCGTGGTGTGATATCCGGAACTGTGATGCATGGATGGCATTTTAGTGAGCCAGTGGGCTGAATGACTGGTATCCATGGGAAAATACTGGTGTCTATGTACTCCCATAAATAGTTTACAACATCTATAAACATCCTCTTGTAACTCTAGTAATCATAAAAATACACATCTGGCAAGTGTGTCCCACTGCATACTTCTCTCAATTACCAAAGGCGTTTCTCTTCATAGTGAAGTCATAAGTTAATAACTAGCCACTAAACCGAGAAAATAACTTTCTTGACAGGAAATCTGAGGACTGATATCTTAATGAGCTTGTGTCCTTTACATTTCATCTTTTGAAGACTCCTCTACCTAATGGCCTCTCCTGATTTTAGTTTTTGGAACCTAGTATTTCAAATACTTACTAGTAAAATTATTTGGAGGGTGAGGGGATAGCGGTGTGCTGAATGCCCTGTTGCCATCCTTGGAATTACAGACCAATCAAATCAGTCTGTTACATATTTGCATGATCAGATCCCAGCTGATTGTCTGGTTTTGAATTTCAGCAAGCATACTGTCTGTCTTGTTTACAGCTTTACTGTTCTGCGCCGTCCTGATCAAAACAAATTTTTTGCAGGCTTGTGGGCTTTTTTTTTTCATTTGCTGGAGGTCAGAGATAGTGTAATGCAACTTCTCTTACTTTCGCAGAAGTTGGAATCCTTGCCAAGTCCTACATTGATCAAGGGTGGCTTATTCCAGATGACATCATGACACGACTAATGCTGAATGAGCTAAAAGGTCTAGATCGGTACAACTGGCTATTGGATGGTAAGTTAGCATATTGGATATCACTGCATATGGAGAGAAAATCTGCACTGGAAAGCTTGGAGTGCTTTTGTCACTTGTGGGTAGCTACACTCCAGTAGCCATCCTTGAGTCGTAGTAACTGGACAGTATTTGTTGCCAGCTTGTTGTGAAACCTTCAGCAGCTAGTCTGCCCCAGTTTCTTTGACTGTAACATGCTTTGGGTGCATCCCGCCTTCAAAGTGTTACAGGGATGTTTAATTCATGTTGAAAAGGCTATTTCAACACTCCAGTAAAATTTCAAAATTGGTGTATCTGGTAATCCTTATACTTTATTTCCCCTTTAAAATATGTATTGAAAAGTTTCTGTTTTTAAAGCCTTTTCTTGTTAAAGTCCTTGGGGAATGGAACACTTTTGAAGAACGGGGATGAGGAATTATTTAAATAGAAAGGTAGGTATGTGATGCAGCAACAGGGTAAGTATGGAAAGTGAGTACTGCAGCAGTGCAGTGTGTAATAAATCACTAACAAAACCACTGCTTAAGTACTCTAAAAGGCTTCATTTGCTCTTTGGTTCTGTTCTCTAGAGTGAATTGTTTTGCAATTCTGCAGTGTAAGCTCATTGCTTCAGCATTCACAGTAGAGAGAAAATGCATTTGCTGCTGTCTTCATGAACTGAATGGCTCGTTACCCCACCCATAGGAGTACGGTTGGATGTGCAGCACCAGTTGGATGGCTAGGCTGGATGTGTGTGGTTTTGGATGCTGGTCTCAACATGTCTCAGTAGATAAAACTAAAAAGTTGTTGGTGTGGCTTTTTGTTTAGAGGGAGTGAAAAATCCACAGTGCTCTCTGTCCCTTGGTGCTTTATTATAATTGCTTCTAGTACAGTGATCTGTTCTGGTGGCTTTAGTCACAGTTATATTCCTCTTTAGTGAAGACAAAGGCTTAATTCCCACAGTGAACAGCACAATGAAACCTAATCAACAAAGGAAAGAGCTGCAGACTTTTTTTTCTTTTTCTTTAGTTCCAGCTCCTGTGTACACACAGTTCCAGCCTTGTGGATCTGGATGTGTAGCAGTATAGCTGGGCACACTGGCAACTCTTAACAGGATGGTGTGGAGACTGTAAGAGAATAAATCAATTTCTGCTGCATGTTAACGTGCTGCCTTCTTTAAACTTTTGGAGCAGAAATTTTGTCTGCATCAGCATTTGTAATAATACTCAGTGAATTACACTAGGGATAGCTCTGGCATAATCGGCTGTGTAGGAACAATACTGTTCTGTTGAAATATGTTAACCAGAAAGTCTTTAGTTTGGTAACTGCAACTCAGAACAAACAGCTGAGGTCAGCTAGGTGAAACTAAATTGAGTTGCTTAGCTGCTTGTATGCTCACTTAGCCAAATACCCATTTCCACTCCCTTAGATAGGTTGGTGGTTTCTAGAGTCATAGCAGATGTAGCAGTCTGAGTTGTGTGTGTGTGGGTATGATCTGCTTAGATTTATGTGCTTTATAATTAGGGTACTTTTTTCTGTGTTCCTGGATTATTCATAATTCATCATGTTTTGTCAATTATTTTTTCTGTATCGAGAAAACACTGTATGCAGGAAATGCCGGTTCAGTTTCAATGAAATGCTTTTGTAAAGGCACTTTAATTGGTTGAGGAAGTTTCTCATTACTAAGTCCCAAAGCAAACTAATTTTCCAGCTGCATAACTAAGATGTGTGGTGGCTGAGTAGCTTGTCAATGCTAAGAAGGAACAGCAGTTCTGGAGTCCTGGCTCTCCCTCTGCTCTTAACATTTAGAAGCACTTTCATGAGATAATGTGAATGTGACAGAAATAGGATGAGGGCAGTTGATGACTGTGATGCAAACCAGGTGCATCAGACTTAATGCACAAGCAAGAACTTGGTCTGAGTTAATTAAGTCTTTCCTTTTGTGATGTGTTAGACAAGACACAGGAGCCTTAAGACCATAAAATATTTTTTTTTCTGTGGTAAGGCTAGTTCTTGGCTGGTTCCTTACTCAGGCAATGGACTCATCAACCAATGTTATGCAAAGAGTTTCTTAAGTTTGTACTTGTCAGTACTTGCCTTTATGGAGAAGTTTACTTGTGTAGTATCATGAAAATCTAAAAGCTACTGAAGAACATGAGACTGTGCAAGAGCTTTGTGGTTAGAGGTATTATTCCATTGAACCTGTGGTGCAGTAGCATGTTCTGCAGTAGCTTTGACTGCTAAAGTACTTGTGGTCAATTTCTCATTTTAAATTATTTGTGGAGACTTTGGTTTTCTTGTTCTCTGTTCCCTGCCACCCCCACCCCGCTCCCCCTTCCTTCTTAAGTTCCACTGGATTTCTCTAGTGGTAACATGTGCCTTTGAGGGCATGCTACCGGAACCATAGAGTTCATGGGGCAAAACACAGTGTCTTTTAAGTGAAGAGACAGATTCCTGTTCAGCCTGAGTGTTCTCACAGTCATCATCCCTGAGGATAGTTTGATACATTATACTTTCCAGAACACTTTCTAAAGCTACTCTTTTATGTAAAATTAATCCTGGACTGCCTCTGGTAGATTCACTAGGCTTACTGCAACTGAATAAAATAGGTTTGTAATGGTCACCTCCTTAAGCCAGACTTACACAACTGTGGAAGTAAGATTTGTCACAGATGTTTCTAGGTTGTTCCAGACCTCTGAGTAAACTGCCTGTAGCTTTCATTGTTTGAAATGTATATACAATGCTTTTTCTCAGTATAGTGATACATAGTACATATGAGTATGGGGTCTTTTTGCATTTATTTAGAATCATAGAATCATAGAATGCTTTAGGTTGGAAGGGACCTTGAGAGATCATCAAGCCCAACCCCCCCTGCAGTGAGCAGGGATTGAACCTGTGAACTTGGTGGTGTTAGCACCATGTTCTAACCAACTGAGCTATGATTAACTGAAATGAGGAGATGGAAGCTGGGAGGCGTTTAACAAGTTAAAGTGCCATGACACACTGAAAAGTACTTTGAAAATCCGATGGCTCTTCAACCTTTATAGTATGATGATGTTTTTTTTTCTTCTGTCTGACAATTACTTCCTCTAATGACTGAATCCAGGTAATTCTCGCTATAACTCTGCCTTTGGATTTTTATGGAGTTGTTTCCTTTAAAAAGGTTTCCCCAGAACGGTTGCTCAGGCAGAAGCCCTGGATAAACAATGTCAAATAGACACCGTGATTGACCTAGATGTGCCATTTGAGACCATAAAATGTCGGCTCACAGCACGTTGGATCCACCCTGCTAGTGGCAGAGTCTACAATCTTGAATTCAGTCCTCCCAAAGTGCAGGTAAGCAATACACGTCAGTGTGGGCACTAAATAAATCATAGAATCAGGGAATCGTTTAGGTTGGAAAAGACCTTTAAGATCATCAAGTCCAACCGTTAAATGTTCCATTGCATTTGGTAATTGTAGTAAAATACTGTTTGTGTATGTTGTTGCAAAACACAGTAGCTCAGAAGAAAAAGGCTTGTTTCATCTCTTAGGAGCACAGAACCTTTCTGGTAACACCCTGCCTCTGAGGGTATGTCAGTGACCTAGTAGAAGCTCAAGCTGATGAAAGATGCGTTTGTCCCCTGCAGAATAAAACAACACAGTGTTTTGTAAGCTCTTGTTAAAGCTGTTCACTGCAGCCTGTACAGTCCAAAATGTAGTTTCCTTTTCCTTCCTCCAGAAGACTCATTCTTTGTATCTAGGAAGCACACCAAATCATCAGTCAGAAGAATCCACTTAATGCTTTCCCTGTGATTATATTTAAACAGAACAGGTATTTTCAAGGGAACAGGTGTCATATTGCAAAATTAGATGTAGAAACTTGCCAGTCAGGGAAGCTTCTCAACAGATCAAAGAGGTTATGGCTTGAGATATCCTAAAAAGGAATAGTAAACTTGAAGATAATGGTTGTATATTGTTACCTTGAGATTTCTGAGGAACTCGGATATGCCTCAGTGCAACTCAGCTTAAGTTCTATTTCATTCTTAACTCTAAATAACTTACCTGTTGTGGTATCACATTTCACCTGGAAGCTCTAAGTTACATCAGAAGCATAGCAGGCCTTGTAGTTTTTGGATGTCAGTGTTACAGTAAGAGGCCAGCACTGGAAGTGAGTAACTGGAAATACTGGGTTTGTATTGTTTAAAATGTGGTGTCTTAAGTCATGGTTATTTTTAATTGTAGAAGAGCATAGGCAAGCTGCAACAGAGAATTATCAGACCTACCAAAGAGTGGGCTTCAGCTGCAACAGCTTTGCTATTAGAACACTCCACTCTACCTTCCACTAATTAGCAGGCATGTCACAACATAGTAGATTGCAGTATTTAAGTGAAACCACATAATGGAGCTGAACAGCTGAAATACAGTTCTCTCTGTTATCTAATAGACCTGCAAAATGTTTACTTATTCAACGGAATGAAAAGATTATGGCTTTAAAGTTAATGCAAGGCTGAAGGCTCAGTATTTGATAGGTACAATTTGATAGGTACAATTAAGGCATTGATAGGTACAATTATGGCTGCCTGCACAGATGCTAGAAAGAAACACTTGAGTGTTTTAAATGATTGTATTATGTAAACAAGGTAAGTTTGACCATATAGATCCAGCTCTAATATGATACAGATGTTCTGGAACAGATTTTCTTCACACCTTCATGAACAGAGAAACTTACTGAACAGTAATGGTCGTTGATTTTGTGAAGCTGACTGCCCGAATGCAAGCAGGAAGGGAGAACATTTTTGTGGTCTAATTGGCTTTGAACTTGCAAGATGACTTATGTTTCCACTCCAAATGTCAGATTAAACTTGACTTTAGGGAAAATGAAAATTCTTGAGGATTTAATTAATATGTACAAAGGAGCAAAGAGTCCTTTATATCTGTGGTGGGGTCATGTTCTGTCCTTAGATGCACAATGATTCAGGGCACCTAAGAAGGAGCCAACTTTCATGCCACTAGCTAGTCCCTCATAAGATATGCCAGTGGTCAATAATTTATTCAGTTGTTGCTGGTTTCCAGGCTTTAAAAGCTCCATAATCACTTAAAGCACTTCAGTAAATTGGAGGTGAAATGTGCAGTGAAGTATGAGGTGTCATAGTTCACACATAAGGTCCCTACCTCTGTTTACTGAATCCTAGAAAAACTTCAGCTGGCTTTTATGCCATTTTTTGTACAGCTGTTGCTAAATGATAACTCTTCCACTTTGCAACTTAAAATCAAAGGGTCATTAACTCCTTTCCCCATTTCAGTATTGTCAAACAAAGATCCAATTGGTCTCTTGATTGTTTCCTATTATGCAGGAACATATTACCAACAATATCGTTTTCCCTCATATAAGAGGGTTTTGTCTACATATTTCCCATATTCAATGAATGTTCCAGAGGACAAATTAGCCAAGTTACTATGACCTGATGTTCATTGCCAATACTGAGAAAATATTTTTAACTGATGGACTGTTTTACCGGAAAGCCAACATCTTATATTCCAGATAAAATATGGGCAATAGCCTTTCTCTTTAAAAGCAGAAATCTGCACCTTGACTAACTGGAAACTGATCATAATTTAAATAGAAAATTACACAAAACAGAAATAAGAAATATACACCAGTGTTTGCTTTTAACCATGATTAGGGCATTGATGATATTACTGGAGAGCCACTTGTTCAGCGTGATGATGATAAGCCAGAGACGGTTACCAAGAGGCTGCAGGCTTATGATGCACAAACAAAACCTGTTCTAGAATATTACCGGTAAGTAGTAAAATCTATTCTTCCACATTCTAAAAGCTTATTCCACATTAGCATAGTGAGGAACAGATCTCTTCAGTTATAGAGATACTGCAACAGTGAACGTGGTGTAAGTAGCAGCGTATCTTTCATCAACTCAGTAAGGAATCAACCCAGCAAAATGAGTATGTTTTCCGCTGTTGTGTGAAACCTCTTCAGGAGCCTGCTTAGCAAAAGAGCCTTTCACTGCAGTTATATTTAGCTTTAAAAAGAGCGCTGTGCATTATTCAATATGTTACAGTACTGTTCTGAGCAATGTAGCTCTGGTTAGTAAGGTAACAGAGACAGTTCCTTTTTCTGGAAGATTTAACAGTATTTTCTCTTCTGGATGTCTAAGCAGAAGTCCTCCTAACAAGGGCAAGGGGTCAAGAAGTGATACACAAATAGAAAAACTGTTAACTGTTAAAAGTGGCTGTTCTAAGAACAGGACTGTGATGGGCACAGCTAGCAAGACTCTTTGGGAGTAAGTAGGTATTTGGGAATACTGCCATTTGCATTGTGGAATGATAACAAATTATTAGATTGTTTTAAGAGCGAAAAATATACACAAAGTTTCTCTTAATGTAAAGCTGCAAATATCACATTGCTAATGGATAGATAATAGTAGGTCACCATGTAGAGCTTTGTAGCCTTATCTTGCCTAGACAAAGAAATCAGACTCTCTTTGACAACATCCTGAAGTGACTGTCCTTCCTCTGTCTCAATATACGCTACCCTTCATTATACTCTACCAAAACTGTTGAGCTGTTGAGCAGAAGACTAGAAGTCCATCTTTGGGGTGGTTAAGTTTTAAAGAAGGAGCTTTTCTGCATTGACAGTGATTTTCCTGACTTTGGTAGCTTTCTGAAGTGAAAATGCCTCAAAGCGCCACAGTAAGACATAGGCCTAAGCTATTATTATCACTGATAATAACATACTTTACAGATAAAACTAGCTACTAAAACTAATTCAGAATAACATGATTCTGCCTGGTTCACTTGCTTGTTCTGATGCACCTTCTTTGATCCTCAAGGTGTAACTTTACAATACCTGGGCTAGTCACAGTTGTTTGGATGACTGCTGTATGGCATCTGCTGTATCACTGCATTGCTGCTTCTTTTTTTACCCTTCAGTTTGTTATTCAGTACTCTGTGGACAGGTGTCAGTTTTATGAACTGATGTGGCCAATAGCTCACTGTTTGAGGAAGAGAGTAATGCACATCCAACCTGCATTCCCAACATTATGGCTGTTCTTGGTGTTAAATGACTTGCATATTCACACACTCCTGCCAGGTCAATCTTAAAAAAGTGAGGTGGAGATCCTGGAACAATTAAACAATTTGACTTCTGCAATGCTTTCTTCTTTTTTTTTTTCTTAGGAAAAAAGGGTTATTGAAATCCTTCTCTGGAACAGAAACCAATAAGATCTGGCCACAGATCTATGCTTTCCTCCACACCAAGTTGCCAGATGTGAGCCAGAAAGACACTGCCACTCCCAGGTGAAAATAGGTCTAACTTCTGCTCACCTGTCATAGCTCACACTTGATTACGTAAGATTCAGCAAGCAAGGATTTCTCAAAATAGTCTACCAGATTGATCAATAATTAAAGTCTAATGTTTCCTTAACTTACATTATGATAAGACTTAGTTGCCTGTGGTTCTCACTTTAATGCTGTATTTTTTATATTAAATATAACTAATTTTTATAATATATAGTAACCGACTTTAACAAAAGCAGCTACTCTTGTGTCTCTTATTCAGAAAATATTTGTTTGCAGGTATTGACTGGTGAAGAAAGCATGTTTCAGAATACAGCTTAATTACAAAACACATTGATTGATTTACTTACTCATGAAATGTAGTGCAAAGCAATGGTAAGGACAGGAAAGCATGTTTCTTGAATGTGTCATTAGTTGGGGCTAGCCAGAAGCTATGGGGAACCATGACCACCATTCTGCAAAAAGCCATTTCAGACCAGAACTGGCATATATATGTATGTTGATCTCATGGAAGACAGTCACCCTCTTTTAGCTTTGCTTGCCCAGATTAACATCACCCAGGTGATTTTCCTGGGCTTAAATTACCCTTAACACTTGCTTGGATGATTGGCCTTATTACTATGTTTATGCTTCTGCCTTCAGAGCAGCTATCTTGCAGGCATGAGAAATGGAGTTTCAATGATGTGTAACACATTTGGTAAAGCCTCTGTCTTTCTGCAGCTGTATAAGACTTTATTAGTAAAAAGACAGCAGATACTGAACAGATTAACTGTAATCTGGTAAAACTGCAGCTAGATGATCTTGACTAGTGAATGTGTCTTTTCTACTGTCTTTGAAAAAACAACTGCTCATTGATGCCAGTGCCAGGATTTCCAGTGGTCAAACTATTAACTTTGTCATATTACTGTAGCAAGTTTTATTGTAGCAATTGGACTGGTTTTCATGAGTTCAGACTACTAATTCATGTCTCTGACCAGCTCTTGTATTTATTTATTCACTAGGTAACTGGAGTTACAAACTTCCACAGGCCACACTTTTTAAACGTCCGAGTAATGCAGACGTTGCTATTTTTCATTGAACTGTCCTAGCCCTTTTTTTATGCTCACCAGATCAAGACTTTCAAGAAGAGTCAGCAAAACCTGAGGAACAAACAAGTCTGTCTAGGCAACGTTGGAAGCAGCGGTGTTCTACTAATACAGGTCCCAATCTCCTTTTGCAGTGATTGTAACAGCTACAGAGCTGTGGTGCTAATGTACCCAGGACTACATTTGCATGTCTAGTTTTAGCATTATCAATATTAAGACACATTTGAGTCTAAAAAAGATGGTCATTGTAGAATTTGTAAAGCTTTCCTATTACTATAAACAAACAATATGGGCAGCAGCTATCACTGCAAGCAGCTTTCCTTACATTTTAAAGAAAACTTGCCAAAGGCTGACCACTTGTGCTTTCATCTTCAGAAATGTCTATATGGAGGCTGTAGACTCGGTGAGTTTAGAGATGCACTTCCTTAAAAAAGCTAGAGTTAGAAAACATTAGCTACCAAATTACAACAAGAAACCCTGATGTGCTGCCTACTTCCATTTACGCATTTTGATTTCAATAAAAAGCAGCTATGCTTGTTTTTTTGCCAGCCTACAGAACTTTCAGTTAGCCAAAGGGGGAGGGAATCTCCTTATGATTTGACACTTATTCCCACACCATCCAATTTTAGCCCCATAGAAATTTTAAAAACAACTTTCAGTATATCACAGGTTGCTAGATCAATGTGGCTCTACTGCTAATGGTAGCAATTGCAAGTCACTGTGCTACACTGCCCTTACTACCCTTGTACGTAACATTCAGTTAAAAAAAACAACCTGAAGTTATTAGTTTCCCTTAATAATTAATTAATTATTGAGGAGGCAGTGTTTACTTATCCTCTCTGGAGTATCTGTCAGACTTTAAAAACCAAGAAAACCCCATCAAACTCTACTACTGAAGCTGGCTATCTCTCATTTGCATCTGGGAAAGAGCTGCTGCTTGCTCCTTTATCCTCAGTCTGTCTGTAAAAGAACTGCTAGAGAACAGAAGGCACATGAAAAGCTACTTCTATCAGTGGATCTGGAGTTCCCACTTTTGCTACTGCATTTCTACTAATACTCAATCTAGTATACACACTGCAGACTTAAGACTTTTCCCTATCTCTGCTATAGCCAAAGCTGAAAATTACTGGATCTCAGCACAGCTTTTGCCTGAATTAGCAACTGCAGGTAGACTCTGTTCATCAAACTACTGAAATCTAGATACCTTCCAGATCTTACATACAATCAGAACAATACAGTAAAGGACCAAGAGTTCCTGCACTTGGGTCACAACAAGCCCATGCAACGCTACAGCCTTGGGGAAGAGTGGCTGGAAAGCTGCCCAGCGGAAAATGGCCTTGGTGTGTTGGTTGACAGGCGGCTGAACATGAGCCAGCAGTGTGCCCAGGTGGCCAAGAAGGCCAACAGCACCCTGGCTTGTATCAGGAATAGTGTGGCCAGCAGGAGCAGGGAAGTGATTGTCCCCCTGTACTCAGCACTGGTGAGGCTGCACCTGGAATACTGTGTCCAGTTTTGGGCCCCTCACTACAAGAAAGACATTGAGGTGCTGGAGCATGTCAATAGAAGGGAAACAAAGCTGGTGAAGGGTCTGGAGCACAGGTCTTATAAGGAGCAGCTGAGGGAACTGGGATTGTTTAGTGTGGAGAAGAATAGGCTGAGGGGAGACCTTATGGCTCCCTACAACTACCTGAAAGGAGATTGTAGTGAGGTGGGTGTTGGTCTGTTCTCCCAAGTAGTTAGCAATAGGTTGAGAGGAAATGGGCTCAAGCTGCATCAGGGGAGGTTTAGATTGGACATTAGGAAAAGATTCTTCATGGAAAGAGGGGTCAAGCATTGGAACAGGCTGCTCAGAGAGGTGGTGGAGTCAGCATCCCTGGAAGTGTTCAACAAACGGGTAGATGTGGCCTTTTGGGATACGGTTTAGTGGGCATGGTGGTGTTGCGTTGATAACTGGACTGATGATCTTAGAGGTCCTTTCCAATCTGAATGATTCGTAGTTTTTAATTTCATTAAAAAATAATCCAGCCACCAAGCCAGGAAACGTGAAATTGCTAGTCTACCCTTAATTGGTTTAGTGGTGGACTTGGTAATGTTAGGTTAATGGTTGGACTGGATGATTTTAAAGGTCTTTTCCAACCTAAACGATTCTATGATTCTATTCTATGATTCTACCGGTACCATTATTTGAGGTATGAGCTGTCTTCACTAGAGTCTTCCAACTGCAGTATGTGTTATATAGTATATAGAAAAGCACAGTAGAATTTTGGATTGCAGAGGTTCTGTGGAAGGCCTTGTCTATAAATAGTATTTGGATTTTCAGCTCCTCAAACAGGAAGCTTTTAATGATTTTCCACTTGAATTGTTTCAGTTGGCAATGTCAGAACTTTAGTGTAGTAGCATATGAAATACCTTTCAAACCCTGCATGACACCTTGCCCTATATGCACTGTGACAAAGCTTTCTGTTTAAACTTAAGCCTTAGCCTAACCCTTCTACCTCACATTCCCTCCATCCCCTCCATCAAATACTACTCCTCATAATGAGACTTGGTTTAAAAAAAATCTGAAGTTAGCCTTATGAACAAGAAGAGAGTCAGACTTTCAGAAATCATACAATCCAGCACTCATACGTAGACAACTGTTGCCTACATTTTAGGACAAAAACAAGTTATGTTTAATGAAAGCACAATGTAACATTTAAATCCCCTTAGTAGAGGTAGAAAGCCAGTGTTTTAATCTAATCCATTTAGATCTGAAATACTGATACCAGATATTGATTTATTGCTATTAGTGATAATCAAATTTGAGAGCTTATAATGTCAGCAAGGTAGCATGAATACAGTCGTGATCTCCAATATTCAGAGTAAAACATGTCCACATCTGTAGTAAGACAATAGCAGATTCTACCAAGAATCTACCGCTTCTTGTAAACATTGTATTTGTGCAGATTTTTTTTTAGGCAAGGTTAGTAGCAGAAAACACATCCAGTTTCACATTCGGCAATATGAGAACCCTGCTCTTCAAGGACAACCAAAAACCTAGCAGCACATTTTCAAACAATATTACAAGTTTTTCTGAATTACCCACCCTTCAAAATCCCTTCCCCCCTCAACCCAAACAACAACAACAACAAAAATCTGACACCAAAAATAAAGTGCAGTACCCAGAAAAATAAGTGTCAAGAAAATAGCCATGTTTGTTTCTTTGGAGGGGGGGGTGGAACCAAAGAAATAAGAAGAAAAAAAAAGAAAAAGAGTACTTGGCCTCAGTCTTAAGATTACTATACTGTGTCCATCATTTTGGATTCTTCTTCATCTCTTTGTATCACAGAGTTTAAACTGCAGACATTTGTGTTTATGGAACCTTGTAGATCACCTGTGGTCTGCAACAGATGAAAAATTGACAGCTTAATTCTCCATAACTGTATATATGGGGGGGGAGAAAAACACAGATATTTTAGCTTAAGTTGGACTCTTTCTGTTGTGTATCTTAAGATGAGACAAATTTGCAATAGTAAGGAAATAAGCTCTGAAAAATTCATCAACCAATATTATCTCACTGCGTCAAGAATTCTTAAATGGCTGGCATAGCTTGTATTTGGTCTCAATATTTCTAGCACTTGACTGCACACTTACTTAAAATTCAGCTGTTGGATCTTACTTGAGAGGTACTTTAATCAAATTATTTCAAATAAGTAGTTTCAATTGTGACTCCTTCCCTAATACCTAATTTTTGACAATCTTTTAAGTTGCTTCTTCATTCCAGAATGTGGCCATCAACTAGTACTGTAACAAAAGACCTAAGTACCCTCAATTTCCTTTTATCACAACAGGAGACTTTCCTTAGGCTTGACTTACCTGAATGATCCCATGAATAGGATGAGTCATTTTACACTGAAAGCTCGTTTCACTACTTGTGGTAAAGACTGTGAATACAATTCTAGCATCTTGTCAGTTTTATGTTGCAGTGTTTATTTTAAGCATGAAAATGTAAGGGCACTGAACTAACATATGCTTTTGACCTTATGCTGATGCTTTCTGAATTCCAGCAAGTAAAATGAAAGCCCATATATGCCTTGCATATCGGTAATACTGCATGTTATATCCTGAGCACTAGCAGTTCTAGGAATAATCCCCTTTGTATTTCAGAAAGGTACAATTTCAGAAAGGTACAGCTTCTCAAAGCAGGACCTAATCCTACTTCAGTTAAATTAATTTCTAGAAATAATAAACCTACCTGTGAAAAAGATGTCAGCTCTCCTATAAGACCAGGATTGACACTGAGATCATGTAGTAACATAGTTTGAAAGCCATGTGATTGTGACCAGATTCTCACTCTTGTCTTGAATGCCTCAAGTTCATTTTTAAAAGCCTCAAAATAGCCTTCTCCTGTCTGCAAAGAGAAAAATGAGCTATTTGCACTTCAGCCAGATTTACTTTTGAGTTGTAAGCATACAGAATGCTGAAAAAAAACATGCAGTAATGCATATTATACTCTTTGGGGAACAACAACTGTGAACAACTCAAGAATAATATTAGTCAATTTAAAATTAAATTTCAGGTAGATCTCTTTTAGACAATCTGTAGTATTTATACATAGAAGCAAAGTAACTGATTTATCTAAGGACATGTAAAATTAAATCTGATTTTAGCCTTTCCTTTATTCCAACTCAGAAGCCAGTACCCTTAGAAGAACAGGTGCTTGTTGTAGCACTCCGGTTAAAAGTAAAGCACAAGTTGACTTGCACTTCAACTGAACTTTTTTAGGCAATACTGAGAGACATCAGTCTTGAATAACTGAATACAGTCTACAGCAAACCACAGTTTCAGTCTTCCTGCATTCCTTCTGCATAGCTCTGGATTGCTCTGTTTCAGTAATGAGAAAGGGACACTATTTTGGGCCCACTGTGAACTGCAGATGAAATGGAAAGTTGTGACAATACATAGGTACACTGTGAAAACACAAGCGTCATTAGCCAAAATCAGTCTTTAAACTGGTCTATGTTTGCTGCTGTTACTTAGTTTTACTTGTCTGTAGCACCCCTATTGTCTCCCTGCTGTATCTTGCTTTCCCCCTGGGATAAGCAAAATCCACTAAACTTTCATTTTCAGAATTGGAATTACACCAAAACATTCTGTCTAGAAAAGAATTGCTAACAAAACACTCCCATAAGCCTAAGTCAGTCAATAAAATATTTAGCCTCTTACAGTTAGGAAGAAACATTCTCTAAAACATTTGTCCCTTGTACAGCATCAAGAGTTTCGCCATCATTACCCGAGTTGACTTACTTTAGCTTTTTGGAAAAAGAGACGAAAACAACCTCTTGGATCCACATTGCAGCTTCTGGCAATTTCTATAATAAACTGCATTACAACTGCTTGGTGTGCTACTTGCTCCATTAGAGCTCTTTTCTGGAAAAAAGTTAAAGTTATGATTTAAGGGTATTTCCTGTGATTATATTTCTAAAATTTCCTAATTGTTCTACTTCCTAAAGAGATGAGAACTGATGCTTACAGAAGCAAGGGGATTGATAATTAGCTATAACTAAATATACATGTGACAATGCACTACAGTTTTTCTTCAGTAAAGTAGAGAGAGGGTGGGAAGAACAGTTAAATAGCTAATTAAGTTGGTCAGGTTTTCTGCAATGCAAGTGGGAAACTGTATGCTTTCAAGCAATTTAAACATCATCTTCATACCTGTTCAGCTTCTAGATGAAAACACCACAACATTAGATATCTAGATGTTTCTTCACATACAAGATATGGGTGCTCAGACAAAAATCTTTGACTATCATCCCATCTGCTCAGCATACCTAATAAGAGAAACACAGTTAAGATATTCTAAATGGATAAATGATTTAATGCAGCAAGGAACTTACTTGCATTGATATGCCAGTATATATAACATCTTTGCAATTCACTAACCTCGGAATGACAGCACGTGGCTAAATTTGGGGGTTTTATTTATATATTTAACCAACGCTGAAAGAGCATTACCAGAAGGTATAATCAGACTTTGAAGATACTAAAAGTCGATTTTAACAGTCACAATTTCCTATATTTTAATGCATCTCTAGCATCGTTGATAAGTTATTTGTAATCAGTTCTCACATGCACTAACAAAGTGGTGTAGGTATCTATTAGTTACATCATCAAATAGTTTAAAAAGTTGATGCGTAGAGACTTATATTCAGTGATTCTGACAAACACAAATCCTCTAAATGTTTGCAAATAAGAATGCAAAGAAAAGAATGTGTAATCTGTCAAAAATGAAAAGTGCTTCTAACACATGATTTGCTAGGTTTTTAGGAAATTTGAATTTAATTACAGGAATAGCTTGGTCTCAAAAAGCAAACTCTACATTAGTACTGGAAAGTTAACTAGAAGGTTGAATTGTGATAGTGTGAAGCTACCTTCATGTAAAGAGATGAGTTTAAAAATCAGAACTCAATACTCAGACCACTTCTTAAAATTGTCCTTGATGTATCACTGACAGTCAAGTCATCACTGGCAACAGGTACCAGATGTACAGCTTTACCCGTCTATCAGCATATAATTATAACTGGGCTAAAGATAATTCAGTGGTAATGACCTAAGATAATCTTAATTCTAGCAAACAAATGCCTAAAGAGAAAGCAATGGCTAATATTTCTTTTGGCTGTTTTCAAGAGAGCTATTGTGATTAAGTTCTTTATTGCTTGGAAGCCAGAGCAGGATCCAGAAACAGGACTCATGCAATATGGCTAGTGAAGTCCACACTGCCCCCTGGCAGCAGGTAGCACAGAATAAGAGACTTGAAAGAGCATTAAATGTACTGTCCCTTTTTACAATGGACTTAAGTATTTTGAATTACAGTAACAACAGGGCTTTGAATTTCATAGAATCATAGAATTGTTTAGGTTGGAAGAGACCTTTCAGATCATCCAGTCCAACCATTAACCTAACATTACCAAGTCCACACTAAACCAATCAAGGGTAGACTAGACTAAACCATGTCCCAAAGTGCCACATCTACCCGTTTTTTGATCCTTCCAGGGATGGTGACTCCACCACCTCTCTGGGAAGCCTGTTCCAATGCTTGACCACCCTTTCCGTGAAGAAATTTTTCCTAATTTCCAACCTAAACCTCCCCTGGTGCAGCTTGAGGCCATTTCCTCTCATCCTGTTGCTAACTACATGGGAGAAGGGACCAACACCCACCTCACTACAACCTCCTTTCAGACTAAACCTCTTCTCTAGGCTAAACAACTCCAGTTCCCTCAGCTGCTCCTCATAAGGCCTGTGCTTCAGACACAATTTAGGAGATAAGAAAAAAAATTGATGACCTTCTGTAATAAGGTTGTTTCTGTTAGAGGTTAATCTGAATTTAGACAACAAAGGAGTTTCGCCCAGATCTTAACTATGAAGCCTGCAAGAAAGCCTCTTTTTTTTCCTGC